GAGATGCTTTATGGTACAATTTTTCACTTTGCTTTCAACGTTTTTTAATTAAGTTGGATGGCGAGTTCTAGTCATGGAGAAGTTTGCTAAAGTTGTGGAGCACTTTATTCCAATATAAACAGATTCTTTGTTGCAATTGTCAATTAAATTAGTATAAATTTTATGCTTTAAAGTACCTAATCATTTTATTGATTCAGAACAATTTCTACAACAAAAAAAATGTGTCTTTCTCTACATATATGGATACTAATTATTGCTATAACAACCTGAACTATTTATTTAATAATGAGGAACATCAATAAAAATGTTATTTTAAGAGAATCCACAATTATATCTATATTGTATTTGAAACTTCAATAAATAAAAATAATAATAATAATAATGTCAATGTAACAAAATGAGTTCCTAATATTTGCAAAAGCAAAATTAAACATCCATCCACTTTATCCATCACAGGGATACATTGGAGCTGGAATCTATCACAAACAACGGGCATAAGACAGGATACACTCTGGAATGGACACCAGTCCATCCCAGGGGACTCAGACACAAACACAGACATATTTACAAAAGGGTATTGTCATTGGACTGGGGGAGGAAACTAGAGCACCTGGAGGAAATCCACACAGACTGTCACGGATGTCAGAAAGGACAAACTGTGGAATGGCAGGAGAGTGAAAAGACCTTATGTGTAGCGGAGAGATGGGGGTTAGCCCGGGCTCAGCTGTTCAGGAAATGCCGTATAGAAACCTATGCCCTCAGGTAGTGGACGTGGGGCGACCTGGTGCTAGGTGGGTCTCAGGACATCCGAATGTCAATGCTGAGCGAGGGCAGAGTGCAAGACCCGGAAATATATAGCCCCAGGGAAAGAGAGGGACTGGAAGGATAGCCAGGCAGGAAACTAGGGACAGGACAGGGCAGGAGCGCCCTCTGGCTGCAGAGGGCGTGACACAGACAAGGTGAGAACATATAGCACAGTAAATTATGATGAACTATTGAACTGTTTAATTGAACCTATGGCCCCAGTACTGCAAGGCAGCAATGCTAACCACTGGGCCAACTTGCCACCAACAATAAACCTTATGCTATTTTCTATATGTTTACCTTTTTCTTCTGTTTAAGTATGGTATGTAGTAGTAGAGACTTTATACAAGTAAAAAAGACTAGTGCTATACATTCACCATTTCTTTAGAAAACAAATCTATGTTGTCCAGTTTACCTTTCATGCACTATTTAGCATTGCTACTTGAAATCAGGTCACATTCTTCTTTTTTATTATAGTATATGTTTATACAATGTTCTATGCATATCTCAATACAAATAAAATAGTGGTTATGCACAGGAGAGTATGTGGTCAGGAGGTTAAGATAAAAAGCCTGTTAATAGGATGTACCTTGTTCCCTTAGCTCTGACTTTGACTTACAATATGCTACCGTGAGCAAGTTATTTATAACCCCCTTGTGCTCGTTTATTTTAAGATGTAAAATTGAGATCACGGCTTCAGTAACTTTAGCAGCAGTTGTTGATGCATTTTTCATCAGGCTTAGTGTCTGCAGGTCACTTTGGATACAGCATTGGCTGTACCAATGGCGGTTATTATAGGCAACAGCAAGCATTATCACGGATGGATAAAATATTGAATATTGGAGCAAAGATCATGCACATTGAGAAATGGATGGGCAACCATCCATTATGAAGCTGTAAAAGTTAAAAAAAGGTAAAACCTGGAAATAGACCTCAAGAGTGTATAAAAAATGTATAATGAAATATATTTTATCCTGTAATATAGTGAAAGAACTACAGTAAACAGAAAACAAAGAATCTCTTTTAACAGAGGTAAAATGAAGATCTTACTAGAGGCAGGATATGTAATCCTATCCCGGATGAGTTGTCCAAATTGAATCCCCAAAGGTGTGCATCAAAACTTACTATCAAGTAAAACCAATTTAAAAAAATGTTCCTGAAACTTGGATCACATCTTCCCCTTTCTCTCATAGACAAACTCATTTCTTTCTAAACCCTCTCTATTAATTCATTCACCTCTTTCAAGCCCATTTCCTCTCTGCTCCCCACCTGTACTCTGTCTTTTGTTCTCCTATGCTTTATTTATCTGCTATTTTCTCTCTCTTCCTCACACCTGAAGAAGGTTCCACAACTGAAATGTTATATACATTTTTTAGTCACTAAAACAGCTCTTTTTCCTGTTATTATAGTGAATATTGGAGACTGAAGCTTGATTTTCGAGTGTACAGTAAATGTATGAGTTTAGCATGATAACACTTTGCATTTAAACAAGGGGACAATGAGCACCTGACTGTGTATATGTTATATGCATTTTACTTTTTGATTATCTGTTTCATGTGCCCTGCCTACAACATACAGTACATGTATACTGTCTGCTGGGAGATGCAATCCAGACACTTCATAACCAACAGTTTGGATTTAAGTACCACTTACAACAAAGGACTCTCTGCAACGGAAAACATTTTGCAAATAGACATGCAAAATAATGAGAGTATTTTTAAAAACTAAAAATGAATTGATCTATTTTTTGTGAGGAAACCTTGAAAATCCAAGTTCTAGTCCAAGTACAGTATAGTCTTTAAGATAATATCTAATTTAAGAATGAAACAAAGCTCACTATTGTTTCTAGAGGAAAATTGTTTTCCTCTTTTCATTGTATAAGCATTTTGCTTAAACGTTTTACATCTTTTATCCTGGTGAAGTTAAGTTAATTATTTCATTGTGGCTTTTTGTTTTGTACTGTTTTTTCTACTGAATTGTAGTGCTGTAACAAGACAAATTTCTAAGTAAAATGAATAATCAATGGCAAGCCAAAATATTCAAGCAATGATTAACATTCTCAACTGCAAAAAAGGAAACAGGAATCTCTAGAGCCAAGGCTTCACTGTCAGTTCATTAATTAAGCTGCAAGCTGTATATATCATTGAAAAGATCATAACCCAAAAAAGTCATCACAGTGTAAGGGAAAATAAACTACGATGAGCTTCACAATGTTTTCTCCGAAGGCTGTTAGGATTGAAATCCATTTACTGCCTTTAATAAGTGATCTGCTGATGCAGTACAAAAACAGTAATAAACTCTCAGCAAATGCAGCGACTGAACTGATGAACTTTGTCGTTGAACCACTTAACTACAGAGTAAATTTATGTACAGTAGATATACATTATTTATATATAAGTGTCTCGAACATAGTTTTGAATGTTAGAACAGTAACAGTATTTTTCCAGCATTTGTCAATACTGTATGCTAGTACTGTAAATACATACAATATCATCAGCTTGCATGATCTATTTAATTGAGGTCTGCAACTGCACACCATGAGCTTATGACCTTCTTTCATTATAAACTGAATTCAGTGAAGGCATTTCTGGGACAGGCAGACAGAACACAGAATAACAATTTTGAAACTGCCTTGGCCACACGAAATCAAAGACTTCAACCACACAATTAAGCCTTACTCATCCATGCAATTCAATTTTAGTACTCAAATAGTCACACTGAAGACTATAGGGTGCATCATGTTTCCCTAACATACAGTATACTGTACTTATCTCCACAGCCTGCTTTCTACACATACTGTAAAATGTAAAATTATTGCATTGAATTATATGAACATATACAATCTAAGAGTAATGGAAATATGTTGGTGAAGTTGAAGTTTCCCAAAAATTCAGTACTAGATAAAGTTCAAGAGAAGGGTAAAAATAGTACATTATGACTTTAAATAGACTCCTTGGAAGAGGCCTTGCTCACATTTGTTCTTGAGAACTTAGTTGAAATGCAAAGCAATATAAAGTGGTTCCATGAAAATGTGCTAATTAAAAAATACATAAATTTGCAAATATTTGCTTGGCTGGTGGGCATTGGAGGTGTTAGATCTTGCTAATTAACTGAGATCATGAGGGAAGAGAAACACCTCAACCTCGGCAATATTCACCAGAGGCTCAAGGGTACAAGCAGTTAATCCTAAACACATTACAAAATGTGAAACTTGCATTCACTGATTCCCATGTACAGGTCAAATAAATACTATTCGGGTACATAAAAGCATTGGTGTTTTCATCCTACATGTTCAAATGTACACCTAAGTGATTTCTTAGAAAAAAGAATCAATTTTTCTTCTAACAACATAGCCTAAATAAGGAAATTCTACTGGGATTGGCAGGCTACAATGATAAAAGACAGCAAGATAAAACTTTACTATAAGGATATGACACATCTACTGTATATCTTAATAAGGTAAAAATTGTTTCTTGCACAGGTTGTTAGGGAGGATAGAAAATAAAGACTGAATAAATTATTAATTAATTACTTAATGATAATCATTGTAAACACAAGACTACTGTATGCTTGTGCTGAGCACAAAAGAGTTTGGTGCTTTTCACAAGAAATTACTTTCATTAACAGAATACAGGGTTGAATTCAGGTCTGTACTCGCTCTGTATAGTGCTGATTACACATTCACGTTTCCTGGTACCTGATTACCATGTACAAAAGTCTGAAACCAACGTACAATAAATAATTTGAGGATGAAACATCATGCTGTTGATGAGGCGAACTTCAGTCTATCCACCTTCTTAATTTGGAAATTATGCCATAGTTTGAAGGAAATATTTTCCCAGTTTTTGTACTATGTTCAGCATTTGTCCATGACTGTCACATTCATAAACATTAACCTGCTTTTTCAAGGATGTACATTTGCATTTGGTGTAAGAATGAGATGTTTAAGCCACTTAAACCCTATAAGTACTATGAAAGTAGTATATTATTTGATTATATTAATGAGATCTAGTTTTTTCCATCATACACTGAAATAAATCTTTCCACTTAGTATAGTATAGAGAGTTAACGAATATAGCATCACACAATCCTTTATGCATCAATGTATTATTATTTTATTATGCTCAGAATTTTACTGATGAACTAAACATAACATAAGGCACAAAGAAGTCATTTTGTGAGTAAATATCACCTACCAAGAGCTGAGGCTTTTTAGTGCAGTTCATGCAGGTGCCAAACATCTGCCAGATGTACACATATCAAAGGCCAGGAGAGCAGTGCAGTTGTATTCCCACCTACAGTACACAAACACATGGTCACAATTTAGGCCTCACTGCAAGAACCTCTTAAATCAATGTGTAGCCACAGACAACAAGCTATATTTCAGTAATGAACAACTTAAAAGTACATTAGTATTTAAATGTTATGCTGTAGGTTGGGCTTCACATTATAATTCCATAGCTTTTTAAGTACTATAGATATTTTTCTGCTTTATGTGTAAACGCTTGAATTTTATGTATCAATATGATGAATGTACTTTGAAACAAGAGTAAGCTTTACTTAAGAGTGATTTTGAGGATCAAAATCACAAATAACAGCTTTATCCAATATAAGACGGAATGTACTATAAGTGGCAATGATTCAGTATATAAATCCTTAAAACTCAAACCTTCAAGTACAGCTTTAAAGAGTGACCTTGAAAAACTGATATTAACTGACAAATCGTTCTTAAATCGTTCTTGTAAATGATACACATCTAGTCACAAAACTTCTACAATCTTGGTAAAGGAAGATTCTTTTTTTTGTGCTAACAATAGGAAGACTGGATAACAATATGGAAGCACTAAAGCTCAATTTAGTATGTTTTTGTTCCAATAAAAAATTGGTTGATAAATACATTATTACACAGAAGAAAAGTGGTTAAAGAGAATTTACTGTATTAAAAAAATAGTGCTGACAGAAGTTTTAATAAGTCTGCAACATTAATATTAACAATTCATGATTTACAGTAAGTGGTTTCTTTGTAAATATAACAATATATGAGTAAGCTTATCAGGATACCGACACCTGGGAATCTTTTAGTTTATAAAGAATAAGACATGATTTTAATGGTCTGTAGGAAAACATGCTGGCAGCTAAAAGCTGACTAATGATTTTGTTTTTAATTTAAGTGACAAAATGAATAATGATTAAATTAAAATTCCAAAATTGCTGCCAGAAGCCATTCTTGCTAAATGTTGCATATATGTGCATTTTTATGTAAGTAATATTTATTGTACAGCTAATCACAAATATAAAAATAACAGCACTCATAATGCTTGATAAACTTCACCCTTATTTGCTTAGAGCTTCATTATCAAGCAGAAAATGTGCTTTTTCTTGTGTCAAATGAGAAACCATGGAATTATTAATAATTTATTTTTTTACATCAAGGAACTTTCAAAATTAATGTGGATGATATAGTGCCTGAGAGACTAGATGACATTATCATTGGTGTTAGAGATAAATTAGCTGTTTTAAAGTGAATGAATCGAACAGACAAAGGAAAGGGCAATTTTGTGCTTATGATCTTTGATTAAAGGAAAAACAGTGAATATCACTTAAAAGTGTCTTGTAGCACCCTCTGCTTTTAAATGCTTTCTTGCAAAAAATAAAAGGAAGAGGCAGATTTTGCAAGCTGAAATAAATTTCCCCTTGATCAGTCTTTAGCTTTATTGAATATACAGCATATATAACACTGGTTGTATTTAATGATTGCTACATACTGTATCTAGTAGTTCACAATTTCTAAATAGGTCTTTCACAAATTTCAACTTAAAGGGTATACAGTAGGAACAGTCTCATGTACTGTACATGGAGATTTGTTCAATTCATCACCACCTATCATGAGATTTCTGAAAAATTTGTATGTTAACCAGTTTAATGACTGCAACAAATGCAGGAAGCAGAAGAAAAAGAATGACAGTTTCAGCTTAGATGAATACAGATCAAGGTTCATTATTGGGCTACCACTCATTTCTTAACGGGTTTTTAATCAGTATCTGACCTACTCTAACACCAACTGCTCTTTCAGATGTATTCTTTATTTGTTGCAAAATATACAGGTATTAGCAACGTTTCTAAGCAATATAACACTAGTTTTACATGGTTTACTGTACAGTATGACTCAGCACAAGTGCTTTGGAGAAATAAGTAACAATCTGAAACTAAGTCACAATACAAGGGGTTATCTGAAAATGAGCAATGTTATTGGATTAACATAAAAATCTAAAACCATATACTGTACATAAACAGTTTACATTGAATTAAAAAGTCCGTAACACACCACATAGTTTCCTGTCAAAAGCCAGTTTTAATTGTATCGCCAAGGAAATACCAACCTATGAACAACTATTTAAAGCAGAGCTTTCTAGACTATAGAAATACCACATTGGCATTTGTAGGTCCAAATCTGAGGAGGAAATTGATTTGCACCAGTATTGTGTAGCTACATCTGATTAAAAAGTCCACTGGGAAGTCAAGATAAACTGGAGATAAAACTGAAACTGAAGACAATCGTCTACAGTATGGTTCAATAACTCAACAGCATTTCCTGATCAAGGTAAAAGAGTTCCCTGTTCTTTTCTTCTCACTTTACAATTTACACATAATCTAGTGCAGCACAACACTCACCCAGTCATATTTATTTTTTGAGGTAATGCTCACTGTTATTTACAGGAAAACATGTTGCACATATGATTTTGAGTTTGTTATTTGATATAGGTTGACAAATTTTTAAACAATTTTCAAAAAACAAAATCTTTCATTCGGGGCATGTATTATGATGTAGTATTGCTCAGGTACACTGTGAGGCGCAAGACCAAGTGCCTGCAACCACCTACTGTATATTCCCTTAATAAAAAACTTAATAAAAAACTTCAGGATATGCTGTCGGTATTGAAAGTCACCTCCCCTTTTCAAAATGTTCACCTTTTGTTGCCCTAAAGCCCAAAAAGAAAATAAATAAAATCAGACCTTTTCCAGTTATATTTACAAATTGTACCTTGCAATATCCAAGTGTTCTTTGCATGGTAAGATGTGTTGGGTTTTTGTCAGATGTACCATTTTGCATTCTGGCCAAAAAGTTTGATTTTGGTCACATTTGACCATCGTATCTTTAAGGTGCTTTTTAGAAAAATACAAATGAGATTTATGTGGTTTTTGTTTAAGGAGTGGCTCTTTTCTCGCCACCCTCCCATACAGGCCAGATTTGTGGAGCACTTGTGGCATTGTTGTCACTTGCACACAATGGCGGTTGTAGTTCAGGTGGGTAGCTGCGACTGGTCCACCACTTTCAACTGGTCATTGCACACATTGACCACTTTCAACTGGTCATTGCACACAATGACCAGTCTTTGATCAGAGAGACTACCAAGCAGCTTTGAACAGGCCTTTATGGAAGTCTCCTTCTTGCTCAGTCATCCAGTTTGGAGGGACAGCCTGATCTAGGCAAGGTCTGGGTGGTGTAATACGCCTTCCGTCTCTTAATGATGAATTTCCATGGAATGTTTAAAGCCTTTGAAATCTTTTTATACCCATCTTCTGACTTGTGCCTTTCCACAACTGTATCGCAAAGTTCTTTTGAAAGCACCTTTCCGCCCATAGTGGATTCTTTGCTTTGAAATGCACTTCCAAGCAGTGGAGTCCTCTTGAAACAGCTGTTTTTATTCTGAACATAATCAAAATCACCACAATTTATCACAGGTGGTTGCCAATTAGTTTTTGTGTGATCTGTAAAGTAATTGGTTATACCTGAGCAAGTATACAAATACAATTGTTAGTGGGGTGTTCACTTATCCAAATAAGGTATTTTACTGTTGTAATATTAATTAATTTTCAGAACGTTTTAGAATTTTATTTTCACTTGGCTAATGTGGGTTAATGTGTGTAAATAAAAAATGGAAAAAGCCTAATTTAATTTGTTTTAATTTTTGGAATATCATATAAGAAAAGGTACAAATTTTGAAAGGGGGTGGTGACTTTCTATACCCACTGTAATTTGAAGTATTTTTTATTTAAAAACATGAGAGCAAGTAACAGAAATATTTAAATATTTTAACATACATAGTTTACTATTTACAATTAAATAAATGAATAATGATAAATTAATAATATTAATTAATAAAATACTAATACTAATAAAAATAAGAATTGCTTTGTTTTAAAAAAAACATATAATGCACATTCAACTTAGGCTTTGAGAATCATAACCTCTTCTACTCCTAAAATGCTCACACCCTCTAGAGGCTATTTTTACCAGGAAGGATGTGCCCTTTAATATCTTGCATCATCTTAGAAAGTATAGACAGTAGCAGTCTGGATGAAGGCTTAAATTCAAGGTAACCACTTGAGCATCAGGTCTCAACAAGCACATTTTATTGTCTTTTTTCAGCTAATCAAGTTGTGCACATGTAGGATGCCAAATGTTATATCATGTCCTATATTTTTATTTATTTGGATAAAACATTTTAGACTTATAGAATAAAAAAAGAACATTTGACATGAGGTTTTATAACCTGACAAGGTTTTGCTTTGATAATATTATTGTAATATTGTAATATTATTTAAGTAAAAATAAATAAGCAGACTGTCTTTGAATAGTGCATTTTCTTATCTGCATCATGAGGAAAATTGTCTAAAAAATGTTTGTATTGTTCAATTGAAATATGAAATACATAGAATTGAAGGAGAGGTTGTCTTGTTTCTTATGATGCACAGTTTGTGGTGTTGCGTTTTGATTTTGCTGCTTAACATTGATTAAATAAGTAAGTAGGGCCGTAGGTGTTGTTATTACAAATTCATCCTTGGCTCACAAATGCGTTTGTTTTAAAACAAAAAATGGTTTCACTGCTCGGAGAACAAACTTGACATTTGAATTTAGAAGGTATCAGAGATCACTTCCATTTGCGATACTTTTCAGTCGTTTCACGAAACGTCTATTGTAAGGCAACATAAAATATAACACAACATGCAACACTTGCTGTGACGTCTGTGTCCAAGATGGTTGGAAAGCTGTTGCTGTCTACTGTATCCCCACCATTCCCGAACACCACACACAATGCAAGGTAACTACATCTGCCTCAAAGAAATACTGTAAGTGGTAACACTTTACATGATGTTGGTTATAATACATATTTAATATATTTAATACAGGGCTAAAAAAGTTATGAAGTAATAATAAAGTATTTCAGTAAGCTGTGGCATTGAGACATCTTTGCAAAGTCTGATTATTGCATGTACATGAAAATAACATGGT